AGGAAGTCTTGCAGAGGGGTTTGAGCGTGAAAGTGAAGATGCAGGGAAGAAAACTACGTTCGAGAAGAGTGTGCACTGCCGAGTTGAAACCCTTTCATATTCGCCCGCCTCATCTAAGACACTCCATAGCCGAGGAATTTATGCAGTTTGCGTGGGGTCCCGATTTTTGCCTGCCAGTGGAACAGCCGGACCAAGGATTGTTCGTCTCCCTTTCTGATTGCCGTCGGGTCCATTCACCTACTGGTTCTTTAGTATGGGAGTACAAAGCCATTTCTCAGGCTGGTGTTGAGTCCGTGTGGTTGCCGGAATCTGAGCTTCTTCGCGCGTTCACACGCTTGCAGCTAGATGGTTTCATCGCATTGTGGCATCTGTATCATCCCGAACTGGCTGATCAGCTCACTCCACGCTCCACCCCGCGTACACCGTTGTCCGCCCGTGAAGCCCTGGGGATTTACCCAATAGGTTTTACATTCCAGAAAGACTTTGGAGGAGGGTTGAAGCTCCAAGGCCAAGTGTTCGGTTACCGCGACCGATACTGGCGTGTACGCTACAGTAACCAGAACTGGGAGGAGATGACGCGTCAAGAGCTAGAACGTTGTCTTCACTGAAGACTGCCCCATCCCGTCGTTGTTGTGGGATATGTCGTGCCATGGTGGGGGGACATGGGTGTATCATGTAGGGTCCCGTGATTGTCGTTGTGGCAGTGGGGAGGAAGGGGCGCTTGAATAGGTGTGTGAATGTGGGAGTCTGGAAGGACCTGTCCAGGAGTTCCGTTTAGTTGTTTTGAGGGGTTTTTCTTTCTTAAGCCTACGCCTTTGCTCCTACTCGGTAGGCGGTACCGAGTCGATAGTTGTGTGCAATCCCTCGAGTGTATGTGCGCACGCGTGGGTTGATTAGGTCCTGTAGGACACGGTTGCAATCACTGTCACGATTGCAATAACGCTTTAGCTAGTGGCGGTATGTGGGCTAATTCACTGTCATGGGGATCGCTTTCCATGACAACGAACTTCACGAGAGGGTTTTATCGAGAGTTTTGTCCCTCACGAGAAAGAGAGAGACGAGATGGCGCGTGAAGTTCGGTTGAATTAGTTACTTTCGAGGCATATCGGTTGATGGTAGACCTCGCGGTTCTATCATTCCTCTAGTTATAAGTACAGGATGTGGCGTTAGTATATTATGAGTAAATAATATACTAATAGGGGGGATGTTACGGTTCGGAATGATATTGTTCCGCAAGTACGTACACCCTCACAGAGGTGGTTAGCCGCAGTCCGCGGAGCCTCTGCTGGAGTCGTGGAGTTCGCCCCTCCCTTCTCACTCCTTTCTCGAGCTACCCTTCCTGAGCTCGAACTAAAAGAATAAGACCATAACATCTGCAAGGAGGCCTTTGCTCCGACCCAATACCAGCTCCCGCAGCCGGTACAAGTACCTTCAAGGTTCATCGCACTCGGTACGGTTGCTCGATTGCACAGAGAGAGGTCAGTGTGGGACAGCTTTTGTCCCATATGCATGGCGTTGGCGGAGAAGCCAGTAAACCTTTCTCGCGCCAAATATCTCTGGCATGAACGGGAATATCAGTGACCCGTTGACAACATGCAATGCCGCCTCTCCCTTCCTAGAGTCGAGCGACTCGTTTCACAGATGCGCGCGGCCGGCTGTAGTTTGTTGTGGTACGTCGTCATCGTGCCAAACTGTCTGTATGTGTATGACTACGAACCAGCAGTCCGCAGTCCGCAGCGGGACTCGGTGGGGGTAGGAGGTAGAGGAGATGCTCGCACGAAACGTGCAGGAAAGAAGCACAAAAAAGGGGACGCGCCAAAAAAAGGCTCGCCGGAGACAAGCAAAAACAACAAAACAAGCGCGCCATGCCAGCCCCCGTCCTCCCTCCGCCCAGGGTGGTTCCGGAAACTACATAGAGTCCAAAAACAACTAAACAAGTACGCCATGCCAGCCCCAGTCCTCCGCCAAGGGTGGTTCCGGAACCTACGCAGAGTGCAACAACAACCAAAACAAGCACGCCATGCCAGCCCCAGTCCTCCGCACAGAACCTGCACAGTGCAAACACAACTACATAAGCACGCCATGCTAGCCTCAGTCCCCTCCGCCAAGGGTGGTAAAATCACCGACCGCGCGCAATAGTGCGCGGCATGAAATCACAGCGGAATCTGAATCGCTCTATGGAAAATTGGAGGTACCGGTTGAACCTCGAGAACTGGTCAGTTTTATTGCTCTCTCTCGACATAATCACGACACCCGGCTAGGTGGCGTCACAAGCCATACATCACAGTAAAAAACAAGTTACAGAGGTTAATTCTAGCACAGAAGACGTCGCCGTTGTCGCAGAGTTTGTCCGGGCTGTTCCAGTTCGCGCTCTCGTCCTCCTTGCTCGCGCGATCTTGCACACTCCGGCTCGGATGCACGCGTAGCTCGTGTCGTCTCGATCGCAACGACAACCTAGCAAAAGCGCAAACACAAAGACCCCCGCCTAGGATTGCTCCCCGCGGAGGCTGTGTGGCCTCGCAATCCCAACAGGCTTGGTCAGGTCAGAGTAGAGTCGTAACCACGTCAAGCCCGAGGGTTCGGTCAGGTGTTTGGGGACATTTTAATACAACACCCACGTACTCGCTGCCATCTACAACAGTCTAGCAAAAGCGCAAACACAAAGACGCCACTCGTGGGGATGAGCCCCAAAGCCCGTTAAAATATCAAGTCCGGACGAGTTCGGTCAAGTGTTTGTTTGCTCGCACGACTACTCACAGAGAGAGAGATGAAATACAGCTGTGGAATGCACAAGGTTGAACGCATGTCGAAACTTTGTCCAAACGAGCGACAGTAGAACTGGGAGCTTGTACCATATAGCACAGGATCTCCGGTAACGATCAGGCAGCGACAAGAACTACGCCAATCGACACTGCAAGTCTACCCATCTCCTAACTCCCAGTATGTTCTACTGCCACTCGATCAGACAAGGTAAGACATGGGTTCAACCTTGCGCAATACACAGCTGTATTTCTTTTCACTCGCAACAGCAACGCTCGACAAAGAAAGAAAACGCGACTACAGGCAGGAAAATACCGATGTAAACTTACGGGCCAGATCGAGGCATGAAAACACCAGAATACATTATTAAAGCTTTTCGTCATACTGTGCCTAAAAACAAGTGCAAAGTCCGCGCGTTCAGGCAATGGTGAAGATAAAGTATATCTTCTTCCTGAGGTGTTTGGACCTGCCTCAACCGATCTGACCAGCCACAGTATTTACCTCACGGTAATTAATTCTGTTTCGGCCATACTGGTGAAGCGACTGTGATTCTCGACACAATTTATTTGAACAAACGCTTAGTTAGATGTTTTCCAGGTGTTTTAATGCTCACGTGGCGTCAAATTCCTCTCAGACGGGCATCACAGTAACGCATACTGGAATATACATGTTAGTTATTGGTGATATCCTCAATGGTGGTGTTTCGAGCCAATAGCTTAGTGACAAGACAAAGTAATCCAGGCACGGAGTATTTTTCTCAATCCAACGTCTGACCCTGGCTTTCGTGATACACTCCGCCCGCTGCTTTTCATTGTGCAGGCGTATCATGAGCTTCACGAAAAGTTTCGGGCTCCGGAAATGTTACGTTCGCCATGCCGTCCTTGTACAGTTGCACCCAAGCCCCCACGACGTCCACAAGCTGCCCGTCGTTGGTGTTCGCGAGGGTCGTCGGCGCAAGCTGGAATCAAGGCAGCGGTTTGAGATGCCCACAAGGAGGAGGAGCCGAGGATTGGGATGGGTTCTGCCTCGACCAAGATGCAGTTAGTGTTTGGGGACGTACCATCTATTCCTTCCTTTTCAGCCTATTGTGGAGGAAGCGAGCCAGTCGTGTCAGTAGGTTGAAAAGAAAAAGGGAAGAATATCGTATCCCTACCAAGCAGGTACTTCGAATATCGTATCCTACCAGGAAGAACGGAATACTGGTACTTCGGAACTATTTATACGTCAGCACTTGATCCGCGTCTCAGCCCTGGAATCCTCGCCTACACCGCACCAGCTCGACGTTGAAGGGCAACGAAAAAGGAACGGCAACGCCGGGCAAGCAGGCAAGGAACGTCCCCCCTACTGTAGTACTCACTTGCTGGAGAATAACGGTGTCGAAGTAGTGGTGCAGCAGTCGTCGGAACCCGTCCTCAACATCGGCGACGTTTCCGTCAAATGTGTTGCCTTTGGTTGCCTCCATGCCGGGTGGGGCAGGCCGAAGCTGCCGATTTTCTCTCTGAAGCTTTCGGTGATCTGTCGAAGGTTAAGAAGGGAGCTGGCGTGTTTGATTGGTGGAAATTTCGATCTCTATATAAAAGTTCATACCTACAGGTGAAGCCGAAGGGCAGCGGCGCTATAATGATCGAGGATGGTACATAATTTCAACCTTTGAAGAATCATCAACCACCGGGTTGTACCACGGGCTCGCACTGACTCCGAAACGCACCGCGCAGCTAACCGTGTGACCGGGACTGCCCAAGAGCCACTCTCCGGTCAAGTCGATCCACCTCCCTACCTTTCGGTTGTCCGCCTTCTCCCCATACTCCATGGCAGCTCCTGTATGTACTCGACGAAGTGGTGAGACGTGTTTCATGCGCGGCGACGGCGGGAGAGCATACGTTTCATTAGGGCCTCGTTTGTCTCACGTAAGGTCAACAGAAATGGCCCCAGACAGCGGGTTGGAAAGCGATCAGTTCGATACGATGTCCAAACTAGAATCGAAACAATAGACGGTCCTGGCCCGATTCCTTGGTGCCAACTAACCGGTTCACAGGGTATTCTAGGCCGCCGGCTAGAAAAACACGGCCCACATGGAAGCTACGACTACATCATACAAAGTCTTGACGTTCGGCGTTTTTCAGGCTCAAACATTTCGAAACGTGATGTTAACACGAGTTCATGTCATTCTTGCGTCTTCTTGCCTCTCTACACCATATGGCCGTACCCAACACGATACAAGCAAAGACTGGACATACCATTTAGCGTAGTGTTTCAGGCGGCGCTCGCGCAGGGTCGTCGCGATGATCCCACATTTGCCGGTCCCTGAAGAGAAATTCCAGCCGCTGCAAGGGTCGGGATTTCGTGTCTTGCCTGCCTTTGATCTCCTTCAGGCGTGCTCTGTACTCTAAAAGAAGCGAAAGACCACCGAGGCTGTCGTATGGGTCCTTGTTCTTCACGCCCACGTTGAAGATCTGGCAAGAGCTTAGCTTCGAAGGACAAGTGCAGGAGCAAGGTTGATCCGAAGGGGTGGGCCGCGGTATCTGGTTAGCTGCTTCCTTAGCTGGGCCGTGACTGTTCATATTCTGTAGTGGATGACCTTTTTGTGCATTCATGTTCCCGCGACCTTCGGTCATCGCTACTCTCTCGGTGTTTCGACCACGCTTTACTCCGTCGGTGACGAACCGTGACATAATTTCGCATCCTTCTAGCTGTCGGTCCATGCACCCAGGTTATACAATCTGCGAGAATGGCCAGAAAGGCAAGACGTGTTTTTCTTGTTCGTCGCTTCTCCGGTGGTTATTGCCTCAGAAAGCATTGTGTTTGCGAGGGATGGGTCGATACCTCCATGCTCGCAACTGCCCCCCAGGATCTCGATTTCTACTTACTTTAGTGCTGCGCCCGAACAGGGAGCCCAGTTGAGTCTTGGAGGTCGCGTGATCGTACGATCCCTGCGTGTCGACCAGCAGCACCGCCATGTCGGGTCTCTTCCCACTGGGCGTTCGTTTTACCAACGACTCGGACCGTATGGGCGTGATGAACGGCTCGGACCATGCATGGACATGCCTTGAGTGTGGGGGTCGAAGCCGCCATTCCAGGAGAACCCGCAGTCGTCACCGTCGCCGCCTGGGAGTGTGCCCTCGATGATCGATAATTCGGGTGGCTCAGTTGTGTGTGATGGGAGCGTAGAGCAGCTCGGCCATGACGGGCCGCACGGGTAGGTAAAGACGTGTAGACGTGGTGAAAAACGTGTTGTATTCATCGGGGGCGTGCTTGAGCTCGTCATTCCATCACGGCATCAAGTCACGCATAACGCTTTAATACCCAGAACGAATCTCCATGAATCTCCACCAATCTACTACACTCCCAAGGAAAACACAAAGAAACTTCTTGTCCCTCCGTAGTTCGTCACTGCAATCCCCGCATATGTATACGCAATATACCACCCCCATGCTATGCTACGAGTATATCGAATAGCCCCCCTGCTCGTATGCATCGTCATGCTCCAACAAAATATCAAAGTCATCCTTATCATACCAGTTCATCCCAAAACAAATCAAAACCAAGACAAAATCGAAAACTCCAACACCAAAACAATACCTCCAAAAACAATCAATCGCATACCAACTCTTCCAAATCATCAAGAAAAATCCCGAACATTAACCTTCCA